TATGAACTTTACTTGATACAAGTTTTCAAAATCTTTTGTACTTTCAGCAGTACTACATGTATGGTAGACCTGCCTTTTGTTTGCTACCTAGGGGAGTGCCAGCTTGTGAAGCACAAATATATTTCATGTTGATTTATCTAGCAATAAGTTACTTAAAATAAATATTATGATACTGATATATTCATAAATAATTTTATTATATTTTATGTTTTATTTATTATATTTACTTGTGGGCGGGGGTATTTTATAAATATTACGATACTGATATATTGATAAATAGATAGAACTCAATGACCATTGAATACCGCTCGGGTTATTCAATGGTCCAAGAGAGTGTATCCCTGCGCAAGAATTCCACGAGCGATAGCGAGTGGAATGCGGCAGGGATACACTCGAGTGAACCATTGAATAACCCGAGCGGTATTCAATAGTCATTGAGTTCTGTTTTTATTCTATAACTACATGCAAATCTTAAAATACACTGTACTATCTAGATTATCATAAAAAATCATCACCACTAACGTTAAAATTCATCAAAGGTTCCGCCCTTTTTTCTTTCTTTTTTACAAAAATTGTGGTTGCCTAGTTGTGACGTCATTACAGTTTGACGTAGTTCTGTAACTGACGTCATTATGGACAAAAGTAGTACGTTTTCAAGACATTGAATACAACTATAGGTTATTCAATGGCTGTATTCAATGGCCGTATTCAATGATATTTGCTTGTATTTGCATTTAGTTATAGAATAAATAATTTTATTGTATGTATCTGTTTCTTTCTTTATTTATATTTATGTTCTTTTTTTTGGGGGGGGGGGGGCGAGAATATTATTTTCATTTTATTCTTATTTTTATTTTATTTGATTTTTGTAAATACTCATCGACGAAGTTTTGTTTAAATTGGTTGATTGTATTATATCATTATTGATTTTAATTTTGTATAGTTGAAGTAAGCATAATTATTTAATTTCTGTATTTCAAACATTCAAGCTATGTGTAATGTGTTTGTATGATTATTATGTTGATGCTTAAATAGGTTGAAAATTGAAGCCAAATGATCAATTTCGCGAAAAAGGGGTCTGTCAGTTGGCGTTACAGAATCCAGTCAATTCTGTTCTGATTTTGATTAAAGATACATTATGGGAGATTCGATAACGAGTTGGCAGTTCTCATTATAATAGTTAAAAACTAGATAATGGAAAGGCAATTTGCTGAAAATTTCATTCAAATTGATCCTCTATGAACCGAGAACAAAGAGATTGAATTTCCGCCTAGCCTTGATCATCATTACTAAAGTCAGTACGATAAACAGCATAGTCTCGATTATCCAATTAATCGTTAAATCGAGAAGGAAAGTTATGCAGTAAATCGACTCACAATCCATTAAAGATCACAGGCTAGCGATGCCATCTAGAGTTGATTATGGTCTGGATAGGTATTGTTAATTATAGATGCGTTTTAACTGTTAAACAGGCATTATGTAAGAGCTAAATCTGCCTATGGTAGGTGTTTCTTTGGCCTGAAATGTTATATAAATTATTAATTTATTAACATGACAAGACCATAGACGACAGTGGATGCCATATGATTGCTCAGATTTAAAATAGATTAGAGCGGTTCGGCCATTGAATGATTTAATTTACAAATGGAGAAGCGAGGCTACGACTTGAATGACCAGGACGGTGGTTTACGATACATGCACCCATCTTGTTAAGATTACAACCATTGATAATTTGCACAAAATAAAGTAATTGAATGAAATTTTTAAATATATTCAATTTGCATTATCTATTTTTGAAATATTATGGCTAACAACGAGAACGGACAGCTCTTTAAATTCATGTCTATTATTGTATTATTTAGGACAATCTCTCTTCACTTAAAAAGGCCTGGATGACCTGTTTTAATTCTTTTAAAAAAACAGTCTTGTTAATTACTACATGTAAATGTTTCACCCCAGGTACAAAAAGTAACTCTGTTAAAAAAATTGAATGGACCTCTAGGCTAATTTGTCAAGTATGCAAACAAGATAGATGTTAATGACATAAATGATATTGGATAATCATATAGCCCTATAAGCAACATAATGAGATAAATGTAGTGCCTGTTTCAAACAAGTTATAACTCAGAGCTAAAGACTTCATGTTGATATATTGGGTCAAGCGCTCAATGAGGACAGTTTTTGCGGCGTTTTGGCGTTATAGAAATGGACCTTTATTATATTTATTTATTCGGTTCTTCTGGAATATTTGTAAAAAAAATCCATTCTTATTTCATCAGGAAAAATACATACATGTAGGCTATTTTTAAAAACCAAAAGTACTTTGTCTTATTGTTCACAAGCTTTTAGTTCCAAATTTTTAAACAAAACATCTTTCCATCTTTCACATGATTAATTGGCTATTTTTTTTATCAAAGCAATGAAGAACAGGAAATCAAATTGGTGTGGTCAAAATTGAAATGTATACGATATCAAGGACGAAGTTGCCTTTATCACCTCTTGACGGGATTCCTGGAGGAAATATCATTTAGAACAAAAAACTTGTTCATTGATGCCTAAACCAATATTCCTTATTTATTTAAAAATGTTTTCTTTTTTTTTCTTAAATATAATAGTTATGTCTACTGAAGCTAATTTAATTTCTCAACAAAGTCTACAGGCACGTAGCTAAGGAGGGGGGCGCAGGGGTGGCAAAGCCCCCCTTGCAAAAAGTTTCGCCCCCCACCCCCGCCTGTGAAAAAATTGTCGACCATAAAAACAATAGATAAACATTGTCCGTCAATTATACAACACCCCTGAGAACACTTTCCGGCCCATCGTTGCTCTGAGGTTACGGCCCTGAAAGCCTAGATCAAAAAGACTATGTAATAATTGCTTAACCTGGGGGTAGATTTATATAAGTAAACTTTTTCCCAGATGTGCAGGCTGAAAAAAAAGAATGTGTGGATGGGGGGGGATGGGGGGTAAGCTTAAATTATATAAATGGTCATTTTCTTAAAATATTAATAACACCTTGATTGGAAAAGAATTTTGTAGTGATATTTACACCTTTATCAACTAAAGTATGCAAAGATGAATTTATTTTTAAAAAAACATTTGAATATAAGCAAGATTTTTATAACTGTATACCAATTAATTGTAAAATGCAACATCTAATTTTATTAATAGATAATAGATATACCGTAGTAGGTGTGTTTGAAGTATTATCTAGAAAAAAGAAAATATTTTCTATTTAATGTAAATTGGTACATGAGGAAAGTCATTTTTTCCGATTTGTAACCTTTTTTCAATTTAACGTTACACATCAGCTATTTAATCTATTGTAATAATTTTAAAATATTTTGGAAGGAGTTATCTTGTTCTTCTTTTTTGATATAATTTCTATGTACTTGTTCATGTTATCAATTTCATAAACTTAAGTTAGAAAAACGTCATTTTCGCGTTTCACTGTGCGTACGTGCTGTCGAAAGCTAGACCAGAAGTGTACCCCCCCCCCCCTCTATCCATAATAGCGCAAAAAATATGCGCACGAACCAGAAAGCAACATCCCGTAAAGGTCTAAAGGCGAGTCGGCAATCATACGGTATTATCTATGCCGCAAAATACCTTTTAATCCTCTAATCCTCCACATCAACCAGAACGCGAGTTATATAACAACTCTTGCTGACCCTTGTGTAATAAAGACAAGTAAAACGAAATTGTGAACTATAAAAGATATGATCTGTGATTTGATCAGATTGAATATGGCAGCATATAGCGCAATTTCATTTCTCTGTAATTATGAGATTGTATTACAATGCACCTAACGAGACCAAACAGTTAGAATTTTTGGACTTACAACAGCGATGATTAAACAACGGAAATAATTTGACATGATAATCCATACCATATGTATGGTAAATGGACAGCGAGTAACGACAAATACCATCTACAGATGGACTCTACATCAGTCAAGTCAGGTGATAAACAAGGATGATTAAAATAGATTTTACGGCTCGGGGTACTTCCTTGCTATCCAAATGTTTTGAGGGGGATTTGAAGCAAAATTTTGATAGATCAATTAATTTGAATATGGTTAGTCAAAATCATCAAATCTTAAAGATTTTACGTGTGAAGGATCTTTAAGCTAATGTCTTTTGTTGAATCCAGGTCAATTGTATTCCTACCAGTTTTATGTTTTAAAAAAAGGCATTATTTCTTATTTATTTAAATATGTTTTTTTTTTTTTTCTTAAATATAATAGTTATGTCTACTGAAGCTAATTTAATTTCTCAACAAAGTTTTATAAAAAGCAATATATTTTTTCTCAAGTATCAACCTTTCAACATTCTTTACAAAGATGGGGAGTTTTTCAATAAGGTGTTCAATAAAAAAAATAAAAACAATAAAACAAAGGGGTTAATCGATATTTGGTAATGGTAATTTCTGTCTTATATTGATTGAAAGGTTACTGATATAAATCATAAGTGTTAGTTGTAATTGTCGATAAAGTTTACGCTTCCATTTGCATGATGAAACCATTCCCTAAAAGCAAAATCGAGTTCATTCGATTCCTTTAAGTCTTATAACTTCCGTCCCGATAGATGAACAATCACGCGTGTGATTTTTTTCAGTCTTATAACTTCCGCTCCGATTGATGAACAATCACGCGTGTGTCTAATACATAATACTGGGCCGTGATACTTTAAGTTCATTGGTCCCGAGAAGGCCGTCCTTTGACATTTTATTCCTGATTTTAATTGTCACGAAAACATGTTATTTTTAAAGGAACTAGAAATAAAGAGTTATTGATATTCTATTAGTATATTGATTTTCAAATATATATTTTTATATGTTTTGTAAATAAACAAAATGTACACAGTGTTTTTTTCTGTTTCTTTTTTATTTTTATTAATTATAAGAATGGAAACGCCAAAAGCCAGATATCTTGAATGTAGATTTCAGTAAATTGTTAAAATTAGAATCTAATAAATATTTTCTTTGTTTTATATTTGTATTAGGAACTGGTGGGATTATGTTCAAGTCATTCTTGTCCACAGAATTCGGTTTGTGTACTAAATTCTACAGACTATTTTTACTGTGAGGTAGAAGGTAAGTTATGATGCTGTCAAAATATGTAGAGGATATTTGTCGTTTTAGAGTGAATAACATATTTTATTTCATCGAGAAGCAAGAAAATGCGTAGCATGAGTGAAAATATAAACGTTTTCTTGCTTAGAGATGAAAAAAAATATGTTATTCAGGACAAAACGACAACTGTTCTAATTATTTTATGATTTGACAATCATTTTAGGTAAAAACAACTAGCCAGTGGAATAACACTTTTATTTCACTGATAAAACGCGGTATTCCACTACTGATCATAAAATAAATCATTTTATATACGACCAGGAAATACCATTCTGATTATTGGAGACACGGTGGCTAAGTGGGTAAGACCTGGGGGTCGGGTGTTCGATCCCTGCATTGGCCGACAAAGTTCATCGGGATTTTCTGGCGTGGGTTCCCCTTGTCAGGGGTGCAGGACAGCTGTCTAGTCGTTCGGATGGGACAAAAAACCGAATCCCGTGTACACATTGGCGTGCACATAAAAGATTCCTTGACAGTTGGAATTCGATATAAGAGTAGGCCGTAGTGCCGCTGTCCGGGCAAAATTTCCCTCATAGCACACTGTATGGCGTATGCCCGTCTTCTTTAGCCCTGTTCGGAGCAGAACAGTAGGACGTTAAACCCCATTTCAATTGATCCTTGAAGTTTTATATACAACGTGGAGGTCAAAGTTAATTCTTAATTGATCGTAGTGTCACAGTCTGCTTATTTAGGCCTTAAATGTTATATAAATGATTAAAAAGGCATTGTGTAAGAGATAAATTTGCCTACTGCAGGTCTTTCGTCTGGACTTAAATGTTATATAAATTATTAATTAGACATTAATTAACATAGCAAGACCATAATCATCTCTCGATGCTTTGATTTTAAGTAGATTAGAGCGGTTCCGCAATTTAATGATTAAATTTGAAAATCGATAATCGAGACTTTGTTTATTATCTTAACAACGATAGCAATGACAATGGAGGCTACAGTGTTCATCTAAGGGCGATAACTCGGTTTCGATTTTAAGTAGATTAGAAAGGTTGGGCCATGTAATGATTTAATTTAAAAAAATGGAGAAGCGAGGCTACGACTCGAAGGACCAGTAGTCCTACGGTGGTTACGTCCAATAAACACATCTTGTCAAAACTACAACCATTGATAATTTCGCTCAAAATAAAGTATGAAATGGATTTTTCAATATATTCATTTTGCATTATCTATATGCATGAAATATTATAACGCCATTTTAACTATACATTAATTAACATGACAAGACCATAATCAACTCCCGATGCCATCGGATGGCTCCGATATTAAGTAGATTAGAACAGTTCGGTCATTTAATGATTTAATTTAAAAATGGATAGTCGGGGCGTGGTTTATTATCTTAACAACGGTAGCAATGAAAATCGAGGCTACACTAGTCATCTGACGGCGTTAATTCTCCCCCGATGTTAAGTAGATTAGATTGTGTTTTGGATCGCTAAATTCTACATGAAAATAGTGTTGGATTATTATAAATGTGTGTCGGATCTGGCAAAAATGATTCCTTTTAGCGATCAAAAGTAAAGTAACTTTACTGTATTGTATATTATTATGCAGACCACGTATATTACCTGCAGGAGTGTCGAGTCGAGGTTTAGATCTGTTATTCTGTAACTTTCACATTCAGACGCATATGTAACAGTATGAATATTAGTGTTTTCTGCACAAACTCTGTCACTTAAAGATTTCAATATTTAATATTATCTTTTTTTATACGCCCACATTTTCATATGGACGTATATTGTCTTCGCCCCTATCCGCCTGTCCGTCCACAATTTCTTTGTGAACACTCTACAGGTCACAATTTTTATGCGATTTTGACGAAACTTGAAATATATATAGGTTAATCTCTAAAAGATCGCGGTGCATGTATCGGATGCTTCATGGATTATGGTTGAGTTCAAATTTTGTAAAAACCCTTAAATCGTACGAAAAATCTAGTTTTTTTAGTTTGTGGAACCTCTAGAGGTCACAATTTTTATTTTTATCTGATTTTTTTAAAAAAAAAAAACCTGTTTAAAAAAAACACCGTGGCACACTAAGGATTGTTGAAAATCGGACCAAAACTGCTTGACAAAATGGCTGCTACTTGTACGCAAATAGTGTAAAAGTATGTAATGCCATGATTGTGGATACTCTAAAAAATTTTATCCGATCTTGATGAAACTTAAGATATATGATAATATCCAAAAGATCTCGGTTTCTTTCGATATTCGTGCATACCTTGATTATGGCCTCTGATTGTACAAAAAATCGCGTTTTTGTTTAGCATGTTCTCTGTCCATCTCTTGCAAAATGTGGGCGTATCTTGTCTGGCAACCGCCGGTTTTACATTATTCAACAAAAAGCCATGATATCCTGGAACTGGTGTTGCATGACACTCACAATACCTGTGGTCATCATATCCGCTTGGCGTTCCAGAATCTTTGGCAACAATTTGTTCTAATGTCCCCCTGATCTTCCTGTTATTGAACGATAAAAACACATTTGGGCAAGCATTGAAGGAGCCAAGTCTTTAACTCAATATCGTCCACATTCTTCGACATTAAAAACACGACTTATTGGTCAATTTAAATCAACATGGATATTGTTATCTTATCGTGAAAAGTTAGGCTTCTGATATTAAATATTTAAGACAAGATGAAAATTTTAAAATTGGCACACGAATTTGTATGAAGAGACTCGATGAACGAAGCTAAACATATCCCATCTAGGGGAATACTACCGGTTTAGACTGGAATAACCAGACGCCAAAGGCTGCCATTCAATTCGGACTCTTTGCGTATTTCGTCGAACATAACTGATTAGAAATTGCAATAAAAACAGAAACGATTGAATGTTATATATACATTCATATTACATTATTATATATTGCGACCCATTTGTGTCAATTTCTAGGTGCCAAAGCATAGCGATTTAGCTCCTTTAAAGGCCGTCTCAACTAAAACAGTCCCGTTTAAGCTTGGCCCAGGAAGATGGCTTTGCTAACATGTGTCTGCAGATTTGACAGAAGTCTATCAACCGCATTATCTACCATTATAGTGTGGTATGACATGTCATCAAAACAGCTCCCGTAGGATTTGTATGCTAAAATTGAATTTTTTGTTGTTGTTTTGGGTTGATTAGGGACCAAGCTATCCAAAAATGCTGGGAGGGGCATTTTTTAAATCTGGACCCCTCTGAACGAGAACATGGCTATCTCCGACAATAATGGTTGGATTTTCATGATCTGAAGTTCATTATCGTGTTTTTCATCATGCCGATCCCATCTATGATACACATAAAGCGATTGGAAGTAGTTTTCATAGACTTCCAGTGGTGAATACCAATTTCCGGTGTCAAATTCGGATTGATTTCAGCCAATAATTTGTAGATTTTCATGATCTGAAATTTATTCCGTTTTTTTTTTGTCATCAGGCCGACCCAATCTATGATACACTTAAAGCGATTGGAAGGAGTTTCCATTGACAGTGAAAAGTTGTATTGTGTGTAATAGAGTTTATTTTCGACTTTTGTATCCAAGGCCCAATAATTTGTGTTGGAAAATAATATGTTCAGCCATGTTGGTGTCGAGATTAGTTTGCAACAAGATGTTGTCACTTTACCTTGCCCTTAAAATGGTTAATGTAAAAAACATTATTTATCTCAGCGATTGTCAGATTATCACACTATTACTATATCTACTTGTATTGTACAGACATGTATTTTATATTTTGTATTCGGTGTTCTATGGGAGGTTAGATTGTCTCCTTTAAGTAATGGCCAATATATACTCAGCCAAATTAAAAACTTGACACTGATGAATTTCAACAATTTTTTTTTTTTCTGGTAAGTCAAATTTATTTTAAAGTGTTTCTAACGATAGTAAGTAGTAAGAAGCCTTTAATTTCATAAAATTGTAAAGTCACGTGGATCACGTGACTTTTGAGCATATAAAGATGAAAAACCTGAAAAACACGTGCAAAACACACTCGTGAGGTCAATCGATGCAAGTTTGCTTAAACTGAACACGCACACGTAACTTGAACTGGAAAAACAAATTAAAATTGTTATTTTCATCTTTGTTAGAAAATGCCGCGCCTTTCAAATGTAGAACGTCTACGTGCTCTATGCTGGTCAATCTGTGGTCACTGTTGCAAGAGCCTTTAATTGTTCACACCAGACAATAATTAATCTTAGAATGAGAGTGCTTCAAACTGGAACTATTGCCGACCGCCCAAGGGCGGGAGCGCCACGTGTGACGTCACTCCAGGAAGATCAAGCAATACGATTACGTCATCTTAGAAACAGATTTGTCACTGCAACCTCCACAAGTAGAGAGATGTTTGGTGAAAGGGTAACTGCACAAACTGTTCGAAATCGCTTGCAGGCTGCTGGTCTTCGAGCTCAGAGGCCTTATAATGGACCAATATTGACACCTCTTCATCGCCGTAACCGACTTGTGTGGGCCACAAGACACATAAGATTTACTCAAAGACAGTGGAATTCGGTTGTCTTTAGTGACGAATCTCGATTCACTTTGAGATTTGCCGATGGCAGGGTCCGAGTGTACCGCAGACTAGGTGAACGTCAGCAAGTGAATCCACCACTGACGTTGCAGGACCTTCAACATGCTCTTGCTGAGCAGTGGCGACGTCATCCTCGGGTAGTGTTTACTAATGTTCTGAGATCCATGAGAAGACGTTGTGTGGCAGTACGAGACGCTAGAGGAGGCCACAACCGTTACTAAACACTTTATTCCGATTGTTCTCCAAGTCTGTGAATTTCATTTTGGGGGGTACTTTGACATCACGAACATTATAAATGCCAAGGACTCTCGGCGAGACGTATTCTTGCTTTCTGTTGATGTCAAGGTCGTCTGTGCACAACATAACACTAAAATAGTTGCCTTAAACCAAATATTAAAAATCTAGTCCCAAAAATCCCGAGTGTCAAGTTTTTAATTTGGAAGAGTATATATATTTTGTGATGCAATTTAACAATCGTAATGCATTATTATCCTTTTTACTTCATGTTATCTTATCTATTTTATCGTAATTTGATGTGTCTATTATGCAATCTACATTACTTACATTAAGTCATATAAGCTAGCTGTCTGGCCTCTATAGGCATCTTCGGATATTAATAATATACTCTTAACAAAAAGTAGGGTATATTCAGAAGCAATACAAAACTGTGGAAATGCACTGCTGTTTATATTAGAGGTAACCAGTGTATGTTAATAACAGGCCAATTGCCTACACATGAAGATAACCAGTTCATCTGGGCGGCTTATCTGACGGCCCCATTTCACTGGCAAAGACATACACTGTCAAAAGCGAAAATGGACGTTTTTGATTTTTGTCTTAATAATGAGTAATTGCTCCACCAATCCTCAGACATTCAGCAATTCGTCGTGGGCAATCTGACCCACTCCTCTTGCAGTGCCACGGCCAATTCCTGCAGTCTTGTCGGTTGACGTTGACGTCGACGAACACGTCTCCCGATCAAATTAAAACGTAACACACTAAAGTAAAGATACGCTAAACAGTAAATCTTATACAAGAACCGATAAGAAATCAAACATGTTGGGGCGATAGGTTCTTCATCTGTGAACATACTCTCAAAGCATGTCAAGTGTCCATGATTATTTATCATATCACAACCTGCATAGGTATTTGCATTTCAATATCCCCTACTTTTTGAAGAGTATATATACATAAATTTAAAATTTAACTATACATATGTATGCATTCGTAGAATAATATTAAATTACGGGGTTTAAAATCTCCTCATACAGAATCGAAGTAAAAGATGTAAAAACATATCTTAAGATTTGTTTAAATATTATTAGAATATTTACAGGGTGGGGGTGGGGGTGGGGGCAAATTAAGCATTTTAAGTCTGGTAAGAACTAATCAATATTTATTTTTCTCTCCATATTCCGTCTTTTGATTGCTTTGTCTATTTCGACTTTATAAAAAAGAAAAATGCTAAATTATATATTATATATATATTCCAATTATAAACATCTAACCAGACAAGGAAATACATTAACATATAAATCCATATAATCATGCTTATATATATTTTTTTCCAGGTTGTGGCCCACCCCCTGAGGTTGTTAATGGCACGCTAATGCCCCCAGACAATCTCAACATAGACACAGTATTGCAATATGAATGTGATCCTGGTTATAGAGCTGTTGGTAGTAGAATTTGTGGTCTTGATGGAAAATGGACAAGTTTCCATTGTCAACCCTGTAAGTATACATATTTTTACAAATGCTTTTCGTTTGAGAATTGGTTTTTCAAGGTAGTGGTGGTGGGGCATCCAAATCATGATAGGAAAAGGAGAATAATTCGAATTTTTCATCCAAATGGAAAGTAATTTGAGAAATATCACCGGAACATAAATGCCAGAATTCAGAACCGAATTGGATTTAAATACAACAATCTATTGTTCTGAAAATCAGGTAGTGAACGGCTCTAGCCAAAAATCGACCAGATTCACAGATATATTAATTAATGAATTGAGCAAATTTTCTATAAATCCGTTAATTTCCAGTTAACCTGACCTAACATAATAATAAACTAATTCTCATTGAAATAAAGATGAAACCTTACTGCAGAATTTATAGAATTTAATAAAATCTAACGGCTACGTGATCAGACTTCACTTAGCATGTATGGATTCGTTTTTGGTTATAGTAAACAAATGATTAATGCGTGCTGTACATCATTCGGGTCATCGCTTTGAGAATGTATAACTGATTATCAGAAACAAAACCTGTTGGTAACTATTTTGGTGACACATTCTTCACTATTTGTGATATGATTATTTATTTCAATTCAAATTGAGAATTGTGGGTTTAAAGCTATGTTTACCTCAAGAATTTATCAATTGTAGCGGCGAACAATATTGTACCTAAAAAACTCCGAAAGTACTGAAAAATATCGAAAATCTTTTTTGGTACTAATTACCGAAAACCGAAAAACACTAAATACCACAAAAGCAACACTAATTACTGAAAAACCATAGGTCACACATAAATATTGTTAGGTTGGTCATGGGTCAGGTCGGGTCACGCATAAAAATTGTGGGAAACTCTAGGTCACGTATGCAATTGGTAGACAGTTTAGGTGGGTAATGGGTCACGCTAGGCCACACATAAATATAGTGGGACACTCTAGGTTGGTCATAGATCACAATAGGTCCCACATAAGACGTATGAGACACTGTGGGTGGGTCATGGGTTAGGGGTTTTCATCTTTATTTCAATGGGAATTAATTTATTATTATGTTATATTAATTGGAAAATAACGGATTTATACATGATTAAATCATGAATGGAAGTCGAACAGCAAATCCGAACCGAATCCAAAAAACATCACAGGCTAGCGATGATATCGAGAGTTGATTATAGTCTGGATAAGTTAATTAATGTCTAATTAATAATTTAGATAACATTTCAGGCCTAAAGAAAGAATTGCAATAGGCAGATTTAGGTCTTGCATAATATATGTTTAAGTAAACTGACAGTGGCGATTATTTGATACCAAAATTTGACGTTTTTCAATGTTATCTCAATTATTGGATTTAAAGATACGTCTTATGTAATTTATCTTTTGCTTTATAGAGAAAGGTCAGCAAATTGTAACCAAATGATTACAAACTTTAGTCAACCGGGGACGCCACTTCTTCGGGGCGGGAAATTATTTAAGTGCATAACAGAAATATTCACAGGGGGACCCTTTGAGTATTTATTGACTAACCTTCGCTTCCCCTAAACCCGTGTAAACCAGTTCATGTATAAGCAAATAGGGTAGAATTATGATTTTTCCAAGATATATTATAGGATTTTTTGAACAAATGGAGAGTTAAAGGGGAAATAAACATAACATTTTTACATATAGGTTGATTTAATAAAAATGTATTTTAAAATTTCTTTAATCATAAAAAATCAACTGAGCACAGGCACTGAACAAAGCAGTTATAGTATGAAAAAGGAGGGGGGGGGGTCACTAAAACTTTTGCCCTGGGGCGCCATATGTGCCCTTATTATGTTCCACGAACGTAATCATTACATGTATTTCACTTGTATTATCATAGAGATGAGACTTGGGGTGGTCTAGACACATCTATATGACTGTGTAATACAAGTTTTAAGTACTTGACAAACTTTGATTTTATCGATCTTTAATCACCTTCCCTTGTATTAAGAATATTTACATTATTCTATTATTGTCTGTTATCTTTCACGAGACTTTATATTTCATAGAATCTCACGCATTCATCCGAAACACAGCAACAAATAAATCGTTAAAATCAATTTGTAGGTAAATTTGTTCTGCCGTAAAAGTCGCAATTGCGTAAGAACAATTAACTAAAGAGAAGTTATCCCCGGGATAACATTATCTGTTTAATTATGTTAGACCATGTCATTGCAGGGGTATATAATCTTTGCAGATAATATAATCTTTGCAGATTTGTCATGTGTAATTATTGGTTATTGAAAAAAGTTTATTTCTTTTTATTGATGATGCCCATGTTTAAGTTTCGATTAGATTTGGTTTAATTATATTAAAGAGATAATGATCATTTGATTTATAAAAAAAATCGATTTGACTTGATTTGGTAATATAGATACATGGATGAGGATGATCATCAGATTGTACAAAAATTGAGACACACCCGTCAAGCCATCGCTGAGATATAGATGTTTTGATTTTCAATATACATGCCGCACAAATTATTTAGTGGTTTATAAGGAGTTTAACGACTCGCTAAATATATCAGCCAGTGTTTAGATGAAAATGTTGTCTTGAATATGATATTATTCAAAATTAAGTCATTTTTTTTTCTTTGTGTGAATACGTATATGCTTCTTTAAATATTTGTTTCGTTGCTAAGAAATTAAAAAATTGTCCCTAAAATCCCCGCTTAAAAGATAAAAACGCATCATAGTATAAACTCTTTTACTGGAACACTTCGGAAAAGTTTGGGTAACAAGTAGTGCTTTTGGTTTGTTTATTTTTTTGCACAGCCTAATAATATGTTTATGACGCCAAAACGGACTGATAATCTTCAACAACCTGTATTCAGATTGTAGTCTGAGAAGGTCTGACGGAAGAGAAAATAACACCTTATTTATTCAGACTGACCATAACCTTGCTTTGGCATAATAAAACACACACCCCTCGCAGTGTTTCGTTTGATTAGGCCTAATCACATTTAAAGGGGCTATTGCTTCGGGAATATGAATAAACCATTTAGATTTGTACGTTTAAATTTATGTTTCGAAAGATTAAGCGGAAGTTTTAGTTTTGATTATGACTTCATCTATTAACGCAAAATTTTCAACCAAGACAGATTGGTGTCTTGTAAAATCAAGGTGTGCCATGTTCGATCCAGGCGTTCGTCGAGAAAGTTTTACGTGATTTTCCAGGACGAATGACCTGGCAGGGCAAAATTTCCCTCAATGCATACGCGTTGACCGTCTTCGTGAGCCAGCGACAAGAAGGGTGATAACCCGCATTTAATTTTATTTATTTTTATGTATTTGAAATAGTACCATGAGTGCTGTAAACTATAAAACAACTTAATAGAATATTATTTATTTTCAGATATCAGAAATTGTACTATGTTGAAGAATTGTAACCCATCGTATGGCGATGGTGAATATTGGCTTAATCCACAAATATTTGTTGATCAACCTGTGAAGATTTACTGCTCTTTAATGACCACGACTTATCCGACAGAATATGTTACACTGCCTAACCCGAACATGTTTTCTAACGCACATTTAACATCTTTTTGTGGATTTACTACGGCCAAGTCGTTTGGAGAAACAATTTATAGCAAAGTTCGTGTTGACATAGATGTAAGTCGTTTTTCTATGAAATATCAATTATGTTAATATAATCATTGGTCGTAGATGAAGAAAGCTCGTCAAGCTGTTTTATAGACCCGCGAATACATTTATTCGCTCAATACGGGGTTCAGTTTTGGACTTGTTAGGATTGGAGTACGTTTGCTCAAAATTGGTCCCAGTGTTATTCCCCTTGACTACTAACCGTATTTGTCGATAACCGTACATTAAACGTCCACTCGACACAAACCAGGCCATTTCGGAACTAAGGTATTGTTCCCCGACAACCGGGAAATCAAAACCACGCCAGTTGCGTGCTAGCGAACATTAAAATAGATATTGAATCATATGTTAGTCTCGAAATGACTGTAGACCCACGGATGACTTAGATACAGTTTGGATTTAAACAGTCGTCTATTAAAATTAAATCAATAAATGGCGGACCAAGCTAATGTTTACCGTTAGTCGCTGATGTCACTACCGGAAACTGGCGATGAAAGGCTTGTGAAGCGAGGCTAACATAGCCATTTAGCATGTTACTTGATAATCGAGAATATGTGGGTGGAGTTATCGTCTGTCAATCAAACTATCGCCAATTCTCATAGACGATGCAGACACAATTGATGCCTATTTCTAGTCCAAACTTCCAACAGTGACAATTCCGTTCATAACAAAGTAATTTGACTGAAATTTTCAACATTTTCTTTCTTTATCATCCACTAGCAAGAATTGCCAACTCTTTATAAAACTCTTAACTAATGTATCTTTAAATGGGGGTTATGGGAGACTAGCTAAAGAATTGACAGTTCTCGCAATAATAGTTAAAAAATAGTTAACGTGCAGAATATGCTAAAAATTTCAGTAAAATTGCTCCACTCTGAACCGGTATATTAGCTCTTGAATTTTAGGCTAGTCTCGATCATCATTACAAAAGACGGTACGATAAAAAAACAAACAAAACAAAGTCTCCATTATCCATTTTAACGTTTAATTAAAATGTATTCCAGTCCAATAAATATCACAGGCTAGCGATGACATCTAGAGTTGATTATGGTCTGGATAAGTTAATAAATGTCTAATTAATAATTTATATAACATTTCAGGCCTAAAGAAAGACCTGCAATAGGCAGGTTTATCTCTTGCATAATTTAAGTCTTGTTCACATCTACTGAAAAATATATTTTCAGCCTTTACACGTCAATCTTATCCAAGAATTTCCATTTTCCCCGTTTACGTTTTGCGTGTACTAATAGAACTACCGTAATGATGCAGAATCTGAATCCTGACAGAAATTTCAATTTCATTTGTAAGAGATCCTTACAATTACACTCATCGTTCACTTTAGAATATTTTGGCGGCTGTAATGAAACGTCGCTATTCGACTCCTTACGTTTTCAACCCATAGTGTTTATATAAATTGAAATAAAATGATAATATCCAATCTGGAAAACTTGTATATCTTACATGTTGTATGAAGCTACGGTAAATGAAATTCAATTATCAATGCGTGTATACAAATGCAACCTGGGGTCACGGTGGCTAAGTGGGTAAGACGCTGGCTCGCTAGCCTGGAGGTCGGGTGTTCAATCCCTGCATTGACCTAAAAGTTCATTCAGATTTTCGGGCGTGGTTCCCCCTTGTCAGTGATGCAGGGAGGAGGGCCTGACAAGGACAGCTGTCTGGTCGTTCGGATGGGACGAAAAACCGAGGTCCCGTGTATACATTGGCGTGCACATAAAAATTCCCTTGACAGTTGGAATTCTATATAAGAGTAGGCCGTAGTGCCGCTGTCCGGGCAAAATTTCCCTCATAGCACACTGTATGGCGTATGCTCCTCTTCATTAGCCCAGTTCGGAGCAGAACAGTAGGACGTTAAACTCCATTTCATTTCATTGTTGCGGGCCTACCCTGCCGCTACGCTTTCCCCATGTTTTTATTTTCACAATGGTCTTGTTACACGTTTATAGTGCCTGTTCCATTCCCGCTTTGTGAGGTCGTGACCTATCACACACTCCGCGTTCCTACCATGACACCACAGCGAATTACACTTACAATACAGGGCCCAGTTTCTCGAAATCGTAACTAAAGATAAAATCCAAATTTTAGTAGATACTTCAATTTTGATTGTAGCTAGGCACTAAAATCAACCTAATATTATCCAATTAAATTACTAAAATTTGGATTTTATCTTAGTTAAAATTTCGTGAAACCGGCGCCTGGTCCCTAATATGCACGCTATAAAAATAGGGAACAAATCTTATTGCTATGCGTACAGGGGGGTTGGATGGCTGAATGGTTAGCGTGCGCGCGCTGTATCATAAAGTCTGTCATTGAGTCGACTGGCGTGGTTTCGAATCCCCGGTTGTACGTGACAAGGAGTAGGGTCGCCTGTCCAACCTCGTGGGTTTTCTCCGGGTGTTCCGGTTTCCTCCCACTGCTATAGACCCCTACGCGCAAGCGAATTATTGAAATAAAATTAAACCATATGTTGGTCCCGAAATGACCTAGTTTGTGTCGAGTGGACGTTAAACCCCATTTCGCTCTCTCTCTCGCTATGCAATTATAGGGTTGCATAGATACCTCAAACTTAACTAACCGTAAGTACGAGCGTGACAATTGAGAAATCGAAACCATATATATACCGGGCCGCTTCACATTCCATCGATATCACTTTGGTTAAAGCGGACGTTAAACAAAACTATTTCGCACAAACCATTCCAGCAATCATTTTGTCATCAGACGTCAAGCGGTATGGACCTCCGGGAAGAGGTGCAGAAGCTTCTCGACGAGGACTCCGTCCCGGGTGAGGGCCAGACTGACTGGCTGCTTCGTTAGGATTAGGATTGGATAAAACGATAACATGAAATTTATGAAAAATACACATATTTGCAATATATCTTTCGTCATTCTTTTTTCAGACTATGGTTATAGATGGAAATGATCTCAATTTCGCATCTGGGAATAAACCCACATGGTTTGGCTATGTTGGTGATTGCTGGGCAATAGGTACCCCATGTACTCTCCTAACAAACACTAAAAGTGGTGTTTTATATTTGGATAGTGGTGAAACCGGTCTATTATTTAACACTACAGTAAGACATTTCTCTGTTTAACAATATATACTAACTTTTAGTAAATACGATAGAAAAAGATTTAAAACCCAAGATATGACATTTTGGGGTTGGTGAATCTGTGTAGCAGCCATACCCCCCCCCCCACCCCGAAGCAATAGTTACGCATATTATTAACTCAATAAACCATTCCTATCGTATTATTATTACTGGTATTAGTAATTAGTAAGTGCAGGGGGATCGCACTACACACAAACAACACCCACAGGACAAACCTGCGGACAACACACAAACTGGAAAGACACTGCAAGCAATAAACAAAAAAGGGTATACATCAAATCAAGAGAATGGATCGGGGCGGGGAGAGACAGTCCTCTGCATGTACAAAAAGGCTAACAATAAAACAGAGAAATACTCAGCAATGAATACAAGAAAGGCGCAAAAGAAATTATGCGACCAGTCTTGACGATGGTCATCTGCTGAATGACCTCTCCTGTCATAAGTTAGAACGTCAAATAGAGCGACAATCCGGATAGACTTTCGGACACGCTAAAAAAATAAACAATTTAGGAATATGAATAAATATACTCTTTCAAAAAAAAGTAGGGGATATTGAAATGCAAATACCTATGCAGGTTGTTCTATGATAAATAGTCATGGACACTTGACATGCTTTGAGAGTATGTTCACAGATGGAGAACTTATCGCGCCAACAGAACCACTGAGCTGCACATGCGACACGAAATAGCGCCATACACGTGGGAGGGGTTCATTGTCAAATTTGACACTTCAAGGAAGGGTTGATGAAAACTGCCGCGTGCTGGTTTATCTATCCATGTTTGCTTTCCTATCGGTTCTTGCATAAGATTTACTGTTTAGCGTATCTTTGCTTTAGTGTGTTACGTTTAATTTAATCAGGAGACGTGTTCGTCGACGTCAATGTCAACCGACAACTCTGCAGGTATTGGCCGTGGCACTGCAAGATTAGTGGGTAAGATTGCCCCAAATCGTGATTGGACGGTTGATTAGGAGCATGCCACGACGAATTGCTGAATGTCTGAGGATTGGTGGAGCAATTACTCATTATTAAGACAAAAATCAAAAACGTCCATTTTCACTTTTGACTGTGTATCTCTTTGCGAGTGAAATGGGGCCGTCAGATAAGCCGCCCATATGAACTGTTTATGTTCATATGTAGACAATTGGCCTGTTATTAACATTCACTGGTTACCTCTAATAAAAACAGCAGTGCATTTCCGCAATTTTGTATTGTTTCTGAATATCCCCTACTTTTTTTTGGAAGAGTATAGATTAAAATAAAGGGCCGATTGCTTTCATTGGTATACCGAGTATATTTGCCGACTAATCAAACCGGTATAAGGAAAGTGCAGAAAAAATTCGAGGGCTCGTGGTCATAATGTGGCTATTCTTGTGCCATGCTATATAGCTCAGTGCGCTATAGATCATAAGATCTGTCACTGGGTCAAATGGTGTGGTTTCCATTCCATGCTTGTACGTGACAAGGCATACGGCTAATCACTTAAGCTCGTGGATTCTCTTCGAGTCCCCTGTCTTATTCGACTTCTGAAGACCCCTACACGCCAGCGAACTATCAAAATAAAAATTTACCATATTGTGTTAATGCCAAAATGACCTAATTTGTGTTGAGTGGACGTTCCATCAACCCCATCTATGGTTAGCTGTGTCAAATTCTCAAACACATGAAGTGATATCAGTTGTTCGTGTAAGAGTAAGCCAACTCTGACTGACGAGCGAAGGAGTTTACGGACAAAACTACAATAAAACCTAAGAAGTATTCGGGTCCATCATTGTGCCGTTTTATTGCAGAAAAATTGGGTTACTTTCCCTGGACAATCAGCAGGGCCTTCTACTATAGAAACGTTCAGTAGATCACAGGACAACCTTACAATTGATATAGCTTGTAGCGGTGCCTGTGCTGGATGTCATCCAGATGGTGATCAGTTAGAATTTGAACTGAATTATAATTATGGTACGTATGCATATATTTTTAATTTCGTCTATTTGTGTGTACTGATTGGGTTTTAATAAAAGCAACATATTTGCCAAATTAGAACCTAGGTCACACCTTCCCGGTGTAAACCGTGGTCAACCGTTTTAGAAACGAGGAAGAAAGGGGGAATCCTGGGTAAACCGTGGCCAATGCCGGGAATGTGTGGCCTAGGCGTTAAAATGAAAACAATGTTCGTGTCTGGACGCTGGAACATATACGTTTATCGAGAAGAAATGTAGAAATCACCTTCCACATCAGTTCGTCAAATTTCAGAATGTTACTAATTATCAATTGAAATTTTATCCTATGGGATTTTCGAGGGTTTGAGATTGAAAGTATGTGGGATTGTCACCGACCATTCTCTGAGATATCACTCTGTGTGGCAATGACCTGGTGGGGTGAACTCCTGTCATAAAGATCTTGGAGTACATAATGTCCTTGGCATTTTCAGAAGGAAATAATCTAACTGAATAGTGCGTTGTACCAATGATCTACTATTTAAACGGTTTATATCCAACTGTCTGGATTTTCGTTTGTGAATATTGGCCATTCCACAAGCCTTGGCCTTTGCGCGACCGTGATCCTGCATCTGCATAGACTATTAACGTTATTAAGTAAATTACATCGATTGGAGAATTTAGATTTAGAATACAGATTATAGGTTTGGTTTGCTTGCTCCCTAAATGCCCCCTGTAATGCCCCCCCCCCCGCCCCGTCCCGTCCCAAATCGTATGCTCTGAAATGAGATACAACATATAAGATGGCCGTTTTCTTTCTCGTTTCAGTTCCTCCATTATCTTCTGCTATAGACCCCGCGTGTCAATAATGGTACTGAAGTCGAGTCAGAGTTTGTGAGAATTAATCTGAAATTATACTTTTGAGAACTGGAAGCCTGTCGTCTTTAAGTGTTATTTCTACAGTTGCTATTATGGTGATAATACCATATCGTGCGGTCATTGTTACGACATGTACAACTTTCTTTCAATACCGATGATTTCGCCGACTTTGAGGATTTTTATCTGTCTTTCTGGCTGCTATTTTATCGTGGTCCATATGCCATTCAGCCGAAAATATCAGAACATGTCTCCCAAAGACTTTATTGTACATGTAGATGTTATGTTTAAAACATTTTTGGTTGTAAGATTGTGATAGTGAATTCTGTGCCAATTTGGTCTTAGACTGTGTTTTTCTTGACCCTTGTACGCGGAGAAGTTTGGATTGGCGTGATTTGGTAGTTTCTTGTTTTAATGTCACGTTACATTTTTTTGCGTAGTGGCACTATTCATTTTCAGACACACTTGTCTATTTACAGAGGAGGATTCAATAGTATGTGTTAGTGTTTGTAGCATTGGTAGGTATTAGGTAAATCGTCTTGCCATTCAGTAACAGTCATTTCTATACCACCCCTCTCATTTGTCACGTTACATTTTTTTGCGTAGTGGCACTATTCATTTTCAGACACACTTGTCTATTTACAGAGGAATAAATAGTATGTGTTAGTGTTTGTAGCATTGGTAGGTATTAGGTAAATCGTCTTGCCATTCAGTAACAGTCATTTCTATACCACCCCTCTCATATATACAAAAAGATCTATATAACAGTATAACCAATACTTGAAAAGGTATAGCATGAATAACGCTTAAAAATAAAATGAACAACTTGACAATGTTCAAATATGCATAATTGAAATAGTATCATCATCTAAGTCATTTAGGCGCTACGGTGGCTAAGTGGATAGGACGCTCCCTAGTCTGGAGGTCGTGTGTTCGATCCCTGCATTGGCCGAGAAAGTTCACCCAGAGTTTCCGGCGTGGTTCCCCATGCAGGATCAACGCCGGATTAACCATGGGGCACAGGCCCCAGGGCCCCCGACAAAAATCTCAGTTGCGTCTAGCCCCCTCCTCTAGAAATGCCATCATTTCATAGCACTCGCATTGATTGGTCCACTGAAATAACGCCAGAATGCGCTAATTTTGTGGCAGAATTTTATTTTTTTCTGGGTAGGTACTTCTAAATGGCTCCACAAAAGTGCCTGAAATGCCAGGAAATCACGTTTCCGGCCTCCAATTTCTGAAAAAATTCCCGGGGGGAGCCCCCCCCCCCCCGACCCCCTTGCGGGGCTTCGCGACTTTGGCGCTCGCGGTCGGCGATCAGGGGCCCCCACATGTTCCAGGCCCCAGGGCCCCCACCATGGTTAATCCGGCGTTGTGCAGGATGGAGGACCTAACAAGGACAGCTGTCTGGTCGTTCGGATAGTACGTAAAGCCGAGATCACGTGTACACATTGGCGTGCACGTAAACGATCCCCTGGCTCTTGGAATTCGATATAAGAGTAGGCCGTAGCGCCGCTGTCCGGGCAAAATTTCCCTCATAGCACATTGTATGGCGTATGCCCTTCTTCATTATCACAATTCAGACGTTAGGCCCATTTCATTTCATTTACTAAATTAATTTTGGAGGATAAAATAAAAATTGATTTTTTTTAGGTACCTCTGCTCTGAATGTAAAAGGTATAGATTAAAAGGTAATGATTGACATGCAGGACTGTCTGGGGTGTGCCTTAAAAGATTATCATTAAAATTTTAGTCACTAAGAAAAGGGAAGGCGACAAAGTTCAAAGGAAACATTTGATTTCCTCATTGTGTGTGTGAGAGAGATAAAAGAGAGAGGGAGAGAGACAGAGAGAGACAGAGAGAGGGGGCGGGGATAACGTCCACTGATTCAATATCTATTTTAATAATTCGCAAGCACGCAACTGGCGTGGTTTCGATTCCCCGGTTGTAGGGTCGCCAGTCCAGCCTCGTGGGTTTTCCTCGGGTCCCCCAGTTACCTCCCACTGCTAAAGATCCCTATCCGCAAGCGAATTATTGAAATACAATAAAAAAAATACGTTAGTCCCCAAATGGCCTGGTTTGTGTCGGGTGGGTGTTAAACCCCATTTATCCCTCTCTCTCTCTCTTGCACATATAGGGGTCTTTAGCAGTGGGAGGAAACCGGAAGACCCGGAGAAAACCCTAGAGGTTGGAAAGGCGACACTACTCCTTGTCACGTACAACCATGGAATCGAAACCAATAATTAGTGCAGGAGGACCGCACTACACGTAAAAAAATCTACAAGATAAACCTGCGGACAAGACAGAAAATGGACATTGCACCAAATAAACAAATATCAAATCAAGTGAATGGATCCGGGGGGCGGCCGTAAGCGGCCACTGCGCTGTACAGTCCCAGGCCTGCGGTGACACAGACTTCACTCAAATTTGAAAACAATCAGGAATACAAAAAAAGACGTAACAGAAATAATGCAATGACAGACCTTATGATACAACCCCCCCCCCCCCCTCTCGTCTGGAGAAACTACATGGAAATTTAACGAATGAAAACACTATATTTATATTAAAGATACATTATTGGAGATTCGATAACGATTTGGCAGTTCTCATTATAATAGTTAAAAACTAGATAATGTAAAGGCAATTTGCTGAAAATTTCATTCAAATTGGTCCACTATGAACCGAGAACTAAGCGATTGAAATTTCCGCCTAGCCTCGATCATCATTACTAAAGTCAGTACAATAAACAACATAGTCTCGATTATCCATTTAATCGTTAAATCATGAAGGAAAGTTGTGCAGTAAATCGGCTCATAATCCACTAAAGATCGCAGGCTAGCGATGCCATCTAGAGTTGATTATGGTCCGGATAGGTTAATTAATGTCTAATTAGTAATTTAGATAACATTTCAGGCCTAAAGAAAGACCTACAATAGACAGATTTGGCTCTTGCATAATGTATGTTTAATATATTGTCAATTTATTGTTATCAAACATTATATTTATTCGAAATAAAAATACGCCGTAGCGCCACTGTCCGGGAAAAATAGCTCGCATGCCCTCATAGCACACGGCATGGTGTAGACCTGTCTTCATTAGCCGGGTTGGTGCAGAAAAGTAGGACGTTAAAATCCCAATTAATTCCATTTCATTTTTATCATTACCTACGTCTTTCGTTCTTTGCGATTTACAGTAGGACATTAAACCCCATTTCATTTCTTTGTGATATTTTTGATTGCCAATAAATTAGATTATCTGCCTTAAGACAACAGATAAGCGACAGATAAAGACTAACTGGGACCTGTTTCTGGAACTCTTAACTAAAGATAAAATCCAATTTTAGTAGATACTTCAATTTTGATTGGATAAGCACTAAAATCAATCTAATATTATCCAATCAAATTACTAAAATTTGGATTTTATCTTAGTTAAAATTTCGTGAAACAGGCCCATGGTCATTTAGTTTATCATATACACGAGTTATAGAAATAATAATATTTTACCTTGCCTTAACTGTTTTTTTTTATTATATTATTATTATTACAAAATAATTATTTTATACATGTACTTATACGTGTATGTATTTATGCTTATGGGTGTGTATTTTGGTGAATAAACTGTTCTCTATAAATTCTGCTTTTGTTTGTAATTTTCTTTACGTGGTTTCTTCATTCATTTTACCAGCCCCATCGGTGACGGGGCAGTTGGAAACACACATTTTTCAACTGACGGATTGATCTCTCTTAAACTCAGTACACCTTCGGGGGGGGGGGGGGGTGAGTGGTCGGTCATTGAGTCAACGTGGCAAGGAGTAGGGTCGACTGTCCAACCTTGTGGCTTTTCTCCGGGTCCTCCAGTTTCATCCCACTGTTAAAGACCCCTAAACGCGCAAGAGAATTATTGAAATAAAATTAAACCATACATAGTTCCGAAATGACCTGGTTTGTGTCGAGTGGACGTTAAACCCCATTTCTTTCTCCATACACCTTATCATGTTTGGATCACAAGGTCTATCATTAAGTCGCGTGGTGTGGTTTCGATTTCGCGCTTGTACGTGACAAAGAGTAGGGCCTCCTGTCCATTTTCGTGGGTTTTCTCAGGGTTCGCCTGTATCCTTCCACTGCAGCTAAAAACCCGTACGCACAAGCGAATTGTTGAAATAAAAACGAACGATATGTTAGTCCTGAAAATGACTTATAGCTTATGTCTAGAGGACGTCAAACCCCCGTCTCTCTCTTCTCTCTCTCTCTCTCTCTCTCTCTCTCTCTCGTTGATACCGACAATTTATAAATTGATTTTAAAAATAACATTATATTTTGTTAGGTGTTCCCAGTGGTGTGTTTTTTCCAACGGGCCGACGCCCTGATAAGAATATTTATAGTAGAACTATTCAAAGCTTATTATATAAGATAGTAGAACGACTGAGAATCTACTTAGATTTATTTTGGTACAAGAAAAATAAACACCTTGAAAAAACAATCTATGTCTGTACGCGTCCGTATGAAGAACTACTTATCGAACTTTGAACTGTAACAGTGTCTGGTTACATATAAAACAAAATCCAGTATGTTAACACAAGTAAAGCAATATGTCTTCATAGGAAAAGAAATCATGGTAATTATAAGGTCCATGGTTTGGTAGGTATAATTGAAATTCGGTAGGGACGGGTATTAGGTTTGGGTCGTGTTTGCTCAGTGGGCAAGGCACTGACTCGCGGCTAACCATGGAATTCTCGTCTCAGTTTCACGCCCGTGTTGGCCAAGAACGTTACTCAGTATGGCGTAGGACTGAAGGTTTGGCAAGTTGATAGTCTGTAGGATATAGACCGGAGGCTCAGCGCGGGGGGGGGGGGGGGGGGGTCCATCAAATGGGCACAAAACAGGTTTCAAAATGTGTTGTTTCTGTTATGCAAGATCATTTTCGACGTTCCAAAGTAAAAGTTTGGTTCTAAGACCACCTAAAGATAAATTTTAAATGTTCCTATTATTAATTAGAACAGGTTTCGCTTTAGTTTTTATATTTTACGCCGACATTTATTACTTTAAATCTTCCTAGTGCTAAAACGGAAAATGTGACCTTTTGACCTCTGGGGTCACAAAGAACAAAGGTGAATTTAGCAAGTTTACATTTTTATTGAAAGTGTGATTACTTTCAATCATTTTCAGCTTATTTTCATGATACAAGAATGACTGCGCATTCACTTTCAGTGCAAATGAACCCATTTGACCTTTGACCCTGAATATCTCGAAAACGCCCCAACGGCGGACTGATTACCACTCGGCGTCGTATTCTACGCAAAATTTTACTCTAGAAAAGTTGGGTCTGGTTTTGTGCCCATTTGATGGACACCCCCCCCCCACCCCGGCGCTGAGCCTCCAGACTAATAGGGCAAAAAACCGAGTTCCGGTTTGGCATGCACGTAAAAGAAACCTTCAATAACCCGGTTGGAGCAGAAAGGTAGGATGTTAAACTCATTCCATTTCATTTTGAGTTATTACATTTTAAAACAAAACAACGCGCCATTTGCTTGTTATTTACAAATACAAGAAAACGAGGGGCGGATTAAGGGCTGGAATGGACCGATCCAAGGACCATCTCAGTTGTAGACAGGAATTTATACGGCGGGGGTAGAGGAT